ATTGATACTTTAGTCTGGGAGACTATGATTTATTTGTTAGTTGAGATTGGAAATTAAGTATCAAAATCTAATTAAGTAATTGTATACAAAGCTAGTGTTGCTTCCCTCTAACAATACATGTATACCGTTCAGTTCCTTTGTTACATTAGCGACATTCTCTTCAATGATTTCATACAATTGTTTTGTTTCAACCTTGAGTTTTCCAATATCCGATATGATATCCTTCACTGCATACTCGATTTCTTTCCGTATTTCCTCGTGAAAGTATATTTTTAGCTGGGAGGATAATTTGGTTATGTCTAGTTTTGCCACGAGTGGTGTATCCATACTGTTAAGTAAGGGAACTTCAAAATTCGGACATTGTTGTCCTTCACTAACTTTACCAAAGCAAACATCACTGTAACACTATAAACTTGGCCATGTAAAAACTTCATATTCAAAATGATGTATCTGCACTTTTACGGCGGATTATAAAAATATCACTAAGTCGTCAACTGAAACAATATCTCCGCATATGCATTGTGTAGTTGTTGAGGTTACAGAAAAGTTTCCGTTTGTAAAGGTCTTTTCCGTCGGATTTCTTTAATGTAAACATGTGAAGGACATCCTATGTCAAATATTTGTTTCGAAACTAAATGCGTATTTTTAAATAATCCCTCTAAAGTCATTGGTAACATATTGCAAGATAAAATATCTGCTCTTCCCCAAGCATACTATCTAACTAATTGAAGTCAATTTCTCAAACCTTTATTTTAGTCTACCAACTTTACAGGACCTAAGTTTTTTTTTATTATATTTGTTTTAGTCTCGTTATGTATGAAATATTTACTGCTGGACGCTACGAAAAATACAATCAATCAATTTTTTGTTATCTTTATTGTAGTTAAGGAATGACTGTAATATTTTTTCTGTCTATGAAGAAATAACAACAAAAATGTGGTGCACACTGAATAACTCGCGTAGCGGGTTATTGAAAAGTTTTATTTCGAATAGACAGAAAAAATATTACAGTCATTCCTTTTAATTTAATTCTAAATTCCATTTTTAAGGGGTAAATTTTGAAAACAACGTTTATGACGTCACGGTCATATGACAAAATTATGTCTACGAGCTGATAGCCAAAACACTTTCAGCCAATCAGAAGACGTATTACATCCAAAATTAAATTATTGTATAATAATATAGTAAAGATGAAGTTGCATGTACTTTTACAGGGTTGAAAGGTATTTCTCTTTATTAATTGATGAATATTCAAAATATTATAAATGGTTTTCTGTAGAGAAACAATTTAGAATAACGTCTAATGAAGATCACAGAATAATTCTAGTGGTAGTTAAACTTAGATTAAGTGTAAGGAAGTGAAACACAAGTGCATTCAAAATGTTAAAAATCATATCTTTATTGAGAAATGTTTGCATTAAAAACCTAAAAACCTTCTTCCTGAAAAATAAAAACTGGTAAGATGTACACACCTTCACATGTACAATTTATTTATACTGCTGTCAAGACAGAGACCAGTAAGTCCTGTGTGAGCAGAAATCGTATTTGATGGTTTTAATACAGAATAGTAAGGTGGCAGTTATTTTGAAAGGTATTATCAATAAAGTTTAAATATTCGTGGTTTTCTATTTCTTTATTGCATCCCTTTAGCATCCTGCATACATGTGCGTGTAAGTTGAGCAGATACCACTACATTGTTTTTATTACATTTTCAAGCAACCATCTATTTAAAGGTGACCGCTTTCCATAAAAGAACCACTTTACAGTTAATTTTCGGATCATTTGTTCTTGTATCTAACAGCCTGTGTATTACGATTCCATGGAGTATGGAAAGAAGTAAAAAAAAAAATCCCTTTTCTGAGCAAAAATAAAATGTACTTTCTTAATTTTCTGCACCAGAACAAAATATACTTTTTTAATTAATTGTTTTCAGAGGCCTCAATATATCACTTAAATGAATATAATAAAAGAGCTGTAAAGCAACATGAATGGCAAATATGAATATCTGAAAACCGAAGCAATGCGTACCAAATAGCCTAAACATGCAGTTCATTGGTTCGATTTTTGCAATGGTTTTCCTGCATCAAAACAGAAAAGTATTCCTTAATCATCTGTTTTATCTAAATAGCCAATACATTTTTTTTAAATATTTTTTTAATTTCCAGTTCCCACTTTGATTAGATATTCAAATATGGCATAATAATTTTATATTCGAGCACATAAGGTAAAACAATCATATAATTATGTTCTACTTAAGTGACATGGATAAATGTCCCTACCTGATAACAATATAAAAGCTGATACAAAATTATAACGGGATTAGCCAAAATACCGCAAACTACAACTGACTAGATCTGCTTCTAACACCGTGACCCGACTCCTTTTACAAAAACATACAAACATACATGTACAAAGCGACAACAACGAACGACACATGATTAAGAAGGCTCACTACAAGAAAAAATATTTGATGAGGTTAAACTATTTTACGTGCGTACCATTTCCCTTCCCCCAACACTCCATCCTTTACCTATCTGGAAAAATGTCGTCAAATTAAAATACCTGTCTTTCTAAGCTGGTACTTTCAAGTTTGGCTAGCTACATTTTTTAGCTTCAGTAAAAAAATATTTCATTATTATACACAGAACATTTAAATTAAAGCATTATCATAAAGATGTTGTGTTATATAATCTAGGATAAACTCCAAAGAACACTTGATGTGTGAATATCTTTTTAGGCCAGTCATAGGATCAATAGTCACTGTACTGTTACATGTACGTATGGGAGACTCAATCAATCAAGCATTTGCGTGTATTCGCCATTTTACTGAATTTATGATAATAATGGACATAAATTATTATATTTAAATTTACCTGTGTACAGTGTACGTTATTTTATTTAACGCTATTTTTTCCAAGGTTGTAGTTGTCTTTGACATTGTGTCATAGATCACATTTATTCGTTCAATGTATGTTTATTTGTTTTTGTTTATATTTAGAACATACTCACCCCTTCTCGTCAATGAAAAGTCAGTTTTTTCCCTTCTAATTTTCATAAAACATGACTTTCCATGCACTATAAAATGCTATACATGAATGACTTTTCATTGTAGATTAATTATGAAAGAATGAATGAATGATTTTATTCTCATAAACTAGTACATAGCTACAGAGAAAATAACAGTCCATATATAATACATATTTTGTTTCGCATGTATTAATTAATAACTTCACTAACGAAGTGTACAATCCCCTGAGGCATTTTCTATGGGGAAAATAGCCTACTGATTATAGATGAAAGAGAAAAAGAATTATAAAAAACATTTTGAACATCGCAAATCTTTATAATAATGGTGCATATATATAACAAACAAAAAATAAAATAAAATGGGGGCAAAGATGTAGGTAAAATTATCTTTTATACAATTTTTATACCAGACATTCGAGGCGATTATTTTTTTTCAAGAAAACAATGTCAGACTGCTGATATATAAAGCAAAGGATTTTTGAGTGAAAAAAAACCCACAAAACAAGTCATGTACATTCATCAATAAAAAGTAAGCATCTGATGTTGAATGATCGTAATTCAAATATTTATAGAGTAAGTTTTATAATTATCAAAAATTATTCAAATTTTAAGAAAGCGGATTGATATAACATTGTGTGGTAATTAAAATCAAGAAATTTTAGGTATATGAGTATTAAATTTTTACCTGATGCAGAAGAAAAACTCAAATGTTTGAACAATTTATCCTTTTTGTCCTCACAAACTATGTCAGTGATATTTCATTCCATCCATTCCCAGCAAACACAAAAACATCTTTAAAATGTTTTTAAAATATTGTGTCTAATGTCATGAAAATATCACAAAAAAACGTGAGAAAAACATTAAATGTATGGTAGAATATATATCGCTAAAACGTTTTCTAATATATTTTCTAAAATATTTGCATAATATCATTAAAATGTTGTAAAGAAATATCATGATAATGTGAAAAACAATGGCGTATAAAACATTTTGCTAATCTTTTAAAAAATATTTTCTAGAAATATTTTCTGAACGTTTGAAAAACATCATGAACATCAAATAATGTTATAAAAATGTTTTTTGATGTTTTCTTGCAAGTGAGACTGTGCCTAAAAAACGTTTTCAAAATGTTTTAAGAAGATGTTTTTGGTTGATATCTAGATCATATCAATATAAAAATTTCTGTACTTTTGATTGAGTTTCCTGCTTTTTAAATAACAAATTATTAGTTAAATTAATTTATACACAGTGATTAATTCTATATACAAACAAGAATACATCAGTTGTTTTGCTAAGCATATGAAATTCAATTCAAAGTCTCTAAAAGCAAGAAGTATCTACAAATTTTGACACATCCAAAATGGCAGACACAACTCATCATGGTCAAGCCACTTACCAAATATGAAGTCATTCTGTTCATCAGCATTACTAATTAAAGTAATGAAAAATTTGAGAACATTCAACATTTTGAAATACAATGTATAAGCAAACAGGAAACAGGTGCCAGATACAAAAATGTTCACACATCACAGTTCATCACTATCAAGCAGCTCATTAAATATGAACTCATCTTTATCAGCAGTTTTGGGAAAAAAACAGTGATGAAAATATTTGTTGGACAAAATCCGACAAATATAGGTGGACAGACGACAGACAGTGCAAGAAAGCCCACATTCCAACCACAATGGTATAATGTTTAGTTTTTCACTCTCAACTTTTGTTACCTATCTTATACACATCATGCATATATGGTAATGTCAACCTGAACATGCATGACATATATGCCATTGGACATTATGCAAACATTATACACATTTTTAAGTTCCGAGTTACATTGACTAAAACTTGTGTCCCAAATTCAGATTTTTCACTACAACTTCTCTTTCTAAACTAAAACACTACACTTCTAATAGGGTTACATCTTAAGTCAATAATCATTGATAATTGGCTGAAGAGATGAGAACAAAACACCATTTTACATCAACTATTTGATTTATTTAAGAATACATTGAAAAAGTCAATCAATTGTCTTATTCAAAATCACTTGGAATGTCTTGTAGTGTCTTATATCTTTTTCTTGCTGTGCCATGCTTCTGAAAAAAAAATAATCTTACATTCATATATAAACTTCTTGCATATTCTTTTATTATAGAACGATTAACGTTGCCTGAAGGATATACATCCCCTCCCCTTTAAAGTTTTGAAACAAATAACGATGATAGTCTGTCGGAAGGGGACGATAAATGGCTGACCGTGTTAAGAGAGAGCAATATGCCACGCTGAACTTCATTTAGTTATTAAAAAAAAAAACACATAAAAAACTTTAGACTAGATATGTGTCCAGTCAAGAGTCTTATTTCATTATACTGGTTGATTGTTGTCTATCATATTTTTTTTCTTTTATTGTTTTGTATAAATCAGGCTGTTGTTTTTCTTGTTTTTTTTTTAGTTTTCACTAAATGCATTGTATCATGTAGGGGCCTTTAAAAGCCCTGCTACATAATGTCATTAAACATCTTATTGTCCTTTTTAAGTGTTAAACTCTGTAGAGTGACATAGTTTATAACTTGTCATTTGTATCTAAGGGCATATGATACAGTCCTAGAAGTATACTATAGGCACATAATAACTTATCGAAGTGTTACGCATTGTTTTCGCAATGATGATAATAATATAACTTAACTTCCGAGAAACAAACAGATGTCTTTAAATGAGTTGTTTATATGTATTTGAAATACTTCAAAGGAAAGCAAATATGTTGTTTATGAAAGCACACTGTCGGACTAAAAGATTGATTTAAATAAACAACTTGTTTCTATTTTGTCACAAAAAAAATATTTTTTTCAAATATCCAGATATCTTTTTTTTATATTGTATGCCCTTAATCTTGAATGTAATGCATTGTTTATGCTAAATATTTGAATTAAATATGGAATAACTAATTCTGTATGAAAATCTTACTTCAAAAAAAAATTCTCCTGAAAGGTTGTAGACATTCCAAAGAACCTGCGCCACTTCCAAATTGTAAACCTGCATATTGAACTTGTCCTTTGTGGCTTTTCTTTTAGCTCCTGTTAAAAAATAAAGATACATTGTATGTACATTGTGTGTATGAAGCAATAAATATAATTTTAAGCAACAGTTTATATTATCTTGCTTGTACTGAAGTCTTTTATAGTCTTTGTAATGTTCATTAAGCTGTTAATGGAAATTTAATTTACTGTTTTGCAAATACATACATACACTGATTTTACTATAAAAAAAAATCTCCATACTCAAATGGTGCTTATATTAGTGTTATTGTAACTTGTTTGTGTGCCTCGGAAACAAGGTATTGAGTCATGCTTATTGCAATAGTTGTTGTTGAAGTCTGTCAAATTTCTTTTTCATAATGTGTATTTAATGTAGGCAGTTAGTTGTTTTGTTTCAATTGTGTTGAGAAAAATTTTACATTTGTTTGTCAAGGCTTCAAAGTGGACTATATGGCATTAGTTTTCTCAGTTTTGAAAGCCGTACAGTGACCTATATAATTTCTTTTATCCAAGTCATTTAAATTCTGGTGGATAGCTGTCTCATACACCTTATCGCTATTTCAGTATTTGGAAATCTGTCCTGCTTGAACTTTTTATGTCAGCATACGTCATACAATAATACACCTTATCGCTATTCCAGCTTGACCCGAGAAACTATCCTGCTTGGACTTTTGACGTCAAACAACAATCACTTTTCCATTGTGGCATCAGATATTTTTTATGACGACGTCAACATTTTACGGGAGCCCGGAACTTTTGTGATGTCCATGGCCAGTAATGGTGGACAAATAGCGATAAGGTGTATTGGCAATCAAACACACAAGCCACATATCCTTATAATTTTTTTATATTAATGAACAAATTCATAATTGTTGTACGTAGATGCTTGAACAGTGGCGGATTTAGGGGCCCCGACCCCCTTATGGAGCTACTTATAAGATAAATGTATAAACTATTTACAAGTATCACTCCAAACGTTTGCTTGCCTTGGGCTGGGGCCCCCTTTTTTCAAAACCTTGATCCGCACCTCCAGAAACAGATGTAATTTGATTCCGATTATGATTGAACACACACAATGAATGCACAAGTTTCATCTTAACAGATTAATCATTCTTACCAAGTGAGTATATATCGTGTAACAAACAATTTTCTTGACTCTCTTTGTTGATATCCTGTCTTCGTTTCGAAATTCAAATTTCAAAATCATTTCCAGTGATAAAACAAAAGTCGATTCCGGATAAGGTCGGTTTTCCGTAAGGCATATAAACGATACGAAAATTGAACTTAGTACAGGTCATTACCTATGTTATATACTCACTTCATTATAAAAAGTGAATTCTTATTTAGTTTTGAATATTACAGTAGCACATACTTACAACTTCTTGTCCAATCAAATTGCTTGAATTTACCTTCTAATTTTCATAGTGCATACTTTTTCTGTGTACTAAGTAACTAAGCATGAATGACCACAAGGGTAAGATTTCATTGTATCGTAATCAAGATATAAAAACAAAAATTGCCACTGGCTATTTTGAAATAAAATGCTGTGTTCCGAATTAATTTAGAATTAGTTTTCAGATTGAATTTTAAATATCCTGCTATTAAAATCTTTGGATCTAAAAAATGTTTTTGACGAGTGCAAGTTTCTTTCGTCTAGGTTAGTCTATGGATAATGGTTCTTTATGCCTATACCTTGATTAGAGTACAACGCCATCTTAAAATTGTGATAATTTATCATCCATGCAATTACTTTGTACACAAAAAATGTGGACTATGAAACCTTGTGAAGGAAAATTAAGGCAACTTGATCTATTTCGTTATGAATTGATTGATTGATTATTGGTTATTTAATGTCCAGTGGCAAATATTTCATGCATGATTAGGACGATGTCATGAATTGAAAAACCCTGATAATGTCTGAAGAAAATGTGCCACCTATATATGCATGAGTTCGATTCCCGGCCAGGGAAGAACAAAAAATTTTGCTTCCGCAAATTTACAGATCTAACATTGTTGGGCTGTTGTTTAGACGAATTATATATGTATAAATATATACATGTTCTGATAAATCTTTTAGTATTTACTTTGAAATAAAAATAAAAACATAAACCCTAGTATCTTTGATCTATTGGTAGTTGCTTTATCCGCTAGACTATCTATGGGGACATACCAGGGGCGGATCAAGCAATTTCTTAAAGGGGGTTCCAACCTTGGATAAGGGGGGGGGGGGGGGGGGGGGGGTTGTTCCAACCATAATTATTTATGTCCCCATTCAAAAGCATTGATCGTCCAAAAAAGGGTTTTTTTCCAACCCCCGGAAACCCCCACTCCCTGGATCCGCCACTGCATACTATTTATATGTTTCAAATTTATTATAGCTTTAGTTTCACTGTGAAATTGAAAAACGTTTTTAAGACATGTAAAGCTTCCACTGCAATTTAATTATTGCCTGCTGTTGGTCAATTTATTTTGTCATCTTGCCATGTAAAGAAGTACATGTATTGTAAAACACCGCTTTATATCAATAAAGATACTTACACCAGCAGCTACCATCTTTTCATTCTGGAGTCAAGGGCCTTTTGAAAACACATATTTTACAATGATACTAGTGAGGAGATTTACAAAACTTCGTTAATGAGCTCCGTTTTACAAACACCTGTGATACAAGTAGTCAGCCAAAATAAACTATCAATAGACCAATTAAAAGATTACTCGAGTTGTAAATATGTGCTAAATTGGATAGTCTATGAAAAGGTATATACTATGAAATTAAGAGCTCGGGGCAAGCCCCTCGCTCTAAATTTCATAGTATATACCTTTCCATAGACTAACCTAGACACGGGGAAGGGTAATTTTGTAAGGTCACTTGAAGTCTAGGTTAGTCTATGAAAAGGTATATACTATACCTTTTCATAGACTATCCAATTTAGGACATATTTACAACTCGAGTAATCTTTTAATTGGTCTATTGATAGTTTATTTTGGCTGACTACTTGTATCACAGGAGTTTGTAAAACGGAGCTCATTAACGAAGTTTTGTAAATCTACTCACTAGTATCATTGTAAAATATGTGATATCAAAAGGCCCTTGTCTCTAGAATGAAAAGATGGTAGTTGCTGGTGTAAGTATGTTTATTGGTATAAAGCGGTGTTTTACTATACATGTACTTCTTTACGTGGTAAGATGACAAAATAAATTGACCAAACCAAAAGCAGGCAATAATTAAATTACAGTGGAAGCTTTACATGTGTTGAAAAAAAATTTCAATTTCACAGTAAAACTAAAGCAATAATAAATTTATTTCAAAGTAAAAACTAAAAGATGTATCAGAACATGTATATACATATATATATATATAGGTGGCACATTCTCTTCAGTCATTATTACGGTTTTTCAATTCATGACATCGTTTGCCACTGGATTTAAGCAACCAATAATCAATCAATCAATCAATTCATGACGAAATATATCAAGTTTCCTTTATTTCCCTTCACAAGGTTTCATAGTACACATTTTTCTTTGTGTACAAAGTAATTGCATGGATGATACATTATCACAATTTTAAGATGGCGTTGTACTTTAATCAAGGTATAAAAAAACATATGTGTTACTCTTTATTTAAATGAAAGAAACTTGCAATCGTCGAAAACATTTTTTAGATCCAAAGATTTTAATAGGATATTTAAAAATCAATGTGAAAACTATATTACAAACTATTTAATTTAATTGGAACACAGCATTTTACTTCAAAATAGCCAGTGGCAATTTTTGTTTTAATATCTTGATAACGATACAATGAAATCTTAACATTTGTGGTCATTCATGCGTAGTTACTTAGTACACGGGAAAAGTATGTACTATGAAAATTAGAAGGCAAATTCTAGCAATTTGATCGGGCGAGAAGTTGTAAGTATGTGCTAAAGTGTGAATATGTTCTAAATTGGTCAGACAATACTTGGTCATGTTTTATGAAGATTTAAATCCCATTAAATCTTCATAAAACATGACCAAGTATTGTCTGACCTATAAGTCTTTTTGATTGAGTCAAGTATTAGACGGTCCAACGATTTACAGAAAAGAGCGACGATTTACAGAAAAGGACCGAAAAGGACCAAAAACAACAGAAACGAACCGAAAAGGAACCAAAAAGAGCATACATATATTTATTTCATATTTATATACACACGAAATTTTGATATTGTTAATAATTCCTCGTAATAAATGAACGCATAACTGTAACTTAGATTGTACATTTTATAGGGATATGTGGACACACAAAAAAAAGACAGTATTATAACTTGGTTTTCAGTAAAAAAAAATTTTTATATATGTACAAGTAATCATTTGCACACTGTACAATATAAATCACTCCTGTTATACACCATAAAACAAAATGTGCCTTTTGATGGACACATCAAAGACTTTTATTCGCATAGTATCGAAATACAATAAGCATTTTAATAAAATAATGTTGTTGTTTTTAAATAAAACTAGCAATTAGTCTTTGAATTTAAAAAAAAATGAAGGAATTAACAACCTGTGACCAAGAGACTGTATTATTCATGTAAGTCCCAGATGCGACTAATTGTCATTAAATAAATAAACTGTAAACTTGATTTTTGACTATTAAATAAACTGTAAACTTGATTTTTGACTATTGAAAAGTATTATAGATTTGAAGAAAAATGTTTGCGGAAATAGATCAGCCATATACGACCAACAAATATGTTAAGATAACTTAATTGGAAATCAACTCCTTAATATAAATTGTCCTTAAATATTGATTTTTCTCCCTTTCTGCGTTTTTCGTTTTATTTTAAAACTATAAAAGTGTGGACACAGATCAGTGTAGATAGTATATTTGGATGTTTGACAGTGTTTTCTGACAAAAATAGTTCTCTGTTTTTCCCATAGGGTTCTATATTAAACCATGGAAGTATAATATTGACATATAATACTTCCATGGTTAAACTGTGTTGTACAGTGATAGCCAACCTGTACCAAACACTAAAAATTAGCAGTGTCGTTTATTTAATATTTAGTTTTAATGTTCAAGACTCTCATGGAGGAGACACTAATTGCATGGATTACCAACGATTCTAATAAAATATGTTCCACAACTTTGATTTTGGATATTGCAGCAAAACTCATAATTAGGAGAGGAACACATTAGGTCATTTCTGCATGATGTGATTTTAATATGCGAGATGGTATCTGACAACCTGCATGCATGTACTATGTGTATGGTTCTATTTATGATCCTTTGTGGTGGTCATTTCTTACTTGGGTTTGACCACAAAAACTGTAAATTAGTTATGGATCTTCCCAGTATCATTAGTAAAAGATTTCGTTTAAATGTCGAAATTGTTTCTTAGAAGACTTCTAATGGTTTTTTGATATCCAATGGTTTTAAGTAATGACAATACTTGGCATGACGCTTAAGGCTAGATGAGCTAGAAAGTACACTTCTGTGTTATTTAAGTTCTTTCTTCGAAAATGTCTTCTCCAAGGCCTGGTCGAAGTTAAAAAATTAAAATTGGACCAGTATGATAAATTATCATTTATATTTTTTATCAAGGATTTTAATCTTATTATTAAAATATTTGTTCATATGCATATTATATTTTTTAAATAGCAATAACTTGTGCATGGAGATTATTAACAAATAAAAAAACCTGTGCGCAATTTAATGTAATTATATGTATATATATGTAAATAGTTCGTCTATATATTTATAAGTTAAATGAGAAAGGGTGCCAGAGAGATAGTAAGACGCATGAAGTAGAAAGAGAAATTAAACAAGAGATCTAAGGAGAATGAAAAAAGTGAGGAAATGCACATGGAGATAGAAAATTGATTAAGTCTATACAGATTGGAGAGGCAAAAAATCTACCAGATTGGGAAAGGGAAGAGAAAGCGGATGAAAGATGCAGTCGATATTGTTAAATACTGATATAGATATAACATATAAATTAATGTATGAGCTTTTTCAAAACTCATTTGAATAGCCCCTATTTGTAATTTGTAGTATATAAGATAGGCATCCGACCCTACCTTTAATAATAAGAGGGTAATTTTTCAAATGTAAGTTAGTCCTGTCGCAATATA